GGTGGCTGGGAGCGGCCACTGCACTCCAGTCTGGGCGACAGAGTGAGACTCCAACTCAAAAGAAAAGTACAAGGCTGGAGACTGACTGAGATGCTGGAGCTTGGAAACGGATTTCCGCATTTGGGAGTGGCCAGGCCTTGACTTCATTGAGCAGAGCTGAGTCTTTAGGGGGAGTGGAGAGAAAGGAGGAAGAAGAACCAGGCACCCAGAGAAAGCAAAGCAGTGACACACCCATCTTGGAGACTCAGGAGAATGGCCAAGGGTTCAGCTAGCAGGAAGCAATCGCTCATGCAGAAAGAGACTATGTGGTGTAGGCATTGTAGCTTGTGTGACATTAAGGGAGAGGGTTCTGAAGAAACCCAGTTACACAGGAAGCAATATGGTGTTTCCAAGGATTTGGTGGGAAAAAAGAGTTAGACAGTAACCAAGCAGGTAAAGAATGACTTGGAGAGAGAAAGCTCTATCTATCTGGGGACAGAATTGAAGAAGCCAAAGAGAGAGACTGAATGGGCGCAGAGACTGAGTGGGGAACCAGTTGGAAACGGGGTCTGACGAGTGTACTCTCCCAAAGAAAAGGAGGTGGGTTTCTGTACCCAACCACATCCCCGGGCCCTGTGGGGCTGGAGAGTCTTGTCACAGGCGCATTGCCAGGAGGGTTAGACACTGCTCTGTCTGCGTATATGAAGAGCTTTATGAGGTCTGACAATTAGGTTCACGGACCATCCTAGAAAAAGTGCTACATATCACTATGGTCACCTTTGAAGTACTCCCCCTGGGAAGCTATGCACCGATGTCAGCACCTAGTCCTCCCATCAAAGCAATTTTGGAACTCTTTTTTTGAATGGCCATCAGAGCTGTCGTCGTTATTTGCTGAGGTCTGACAATTCAGTTTGCGAACTTGCCACCGTGTGCTTATTTTGGCAGCACTGTACGAATAACTGTATCGGAACACCCTCCCTACTCACCTGTTCTGACCCCCAGTGACACCTGAAGATAAAGGAAATATTGAAAGGAAGACGTTTGATGATATTCAGGACGTCGAGGGTAATATCACGATGCCTTTGATGGCCATTCCAAAAAAAGAATTCCCAAATTGCTTTGACGGGTGGACTAGGTGCTGGTGTAGGTGCATAGCCTCCCAAGCAGACTACTTTGAAGGTGACTGTAGTGATCTTCATTCAACAATGAGGTGTGCAGCACTTTTTCTAGGATGAGTTTGTGAACTTAATTGGACCCCGTAGATTCCAGACTGGGAACTTGGATATTGTTATGTGGAACCGGAGCAGAAGGGGTTTTATGTGATTCACAGGCATGTTCAGTGTGCCAGGCACCGTGTGTTAGGGCTTTTCATTCCATATCTTAGTTTGTTTATTTCCAGCAACAGCCCTTCAAGTGAATAGCACTGTCCCCATTTTACCCATGAGGAAACTGTGGTAAGCCATTGCCTGACTTGCCTGTGATCACGTGACAGTAAGTGACCAAGCTGCTGCCATACCCAGGGCTGCCCGCCTTGTGGACTGCCCTCTGTCCCCATAGCCATGGAGAACACGTCCGTGTGTCTGTTTCAGTATGCATCTTCAGTAGACTGTATGGTACCCAGCTAGTAAGAACATGTACACCCTCCTTCACGGAAGGCAATTCCCATAGAGAAGTGTTGAGAGTGGTTTGTGTGCACATGAGTGTGTTTGAGAGAGAGAGAGTGTGTGTCTGCATGTGCCCTGAAGCTTCTCTCTACTGTGGGTCAATTTGCTATGATGCAATGTGTATCATTTTCCCCACTGTCTGCTACGCTATGCTGTACAGTTTAACGAAATACTGGCCAATTTGACTGTTCATTGTCTAAAGGGTATTATTAGAGAGGCGAGAGTGGCTGAATATAACCATATGGCCCAGTGGGCTTGACCACTTCAGGATTTTCACACACATGTCCCGGAGCTCAGCCACCACCATGAACCTTGTCACAAGGGAATGGCGTTAAAAGCATACTTCCGGCCGGGCTTGGTGGTTCAGCCTGTAATTCCAGCACTTTGGGAGGCCGAGGTGAGTGGATTGCCTGAGCCCGCGGGTTCGAGATCTGCCTGGG